TTTATACAGATCAAATGACATTTACACAAACAGCCACAGGAAACACTTGACTTTGACTGAAACCCCAATGGAGGAAGTGAAAGAGAACAGAGTGTTTCGGACCGTTCAAGACACACACACACACACATCCCTACACACACATACCCACAATATGGCCTGAAGTGTCTGGGAAATTTGCAAATTCTACATTTTTTGGTACCTCCTCTCCAGATATAGCGGATGCACACATCCCTTTGAGTCTGTGCTAGCTCTGTGCCTGTGTTAATGATTTAATCTCAAAGCGGTTAACAATCAGGGAGCGGTAATGGAGCCTAATCATCATCCATCTGGGAGGCTACAACTCCCAAAGAACTTAGACTGAACACCCAGGAGATCATACCTCTGTTATTTTGCTCAAATTGAAAACTTTTTATTATCTCTCCACACCAGTTGCCAACCCCAGTTAACTTGTTTAACTGGATTGGAATATTTTATGGCTACAGCAGAATTTAACACTAAAAATGTTTGCAGTGGGTTTTGAACAATATCTCCATCCTCCACACATTGTTCAGCAACTGAAAAACCTCCATCCTCATCCAGCCTTGTTTAACATAGATAACAGTTAAAATAACCCATATATTATACTGCAACTTCTCTTGTTTCTCCAGCTTTGAAAAGTAGGGTCTGAGAAAAAAAAGGAATAATGGCAAAATGTTTATACATTTGTATAAACCTAAGAAAATGTGCTACTAACTTGTAGAGGTATTGATTGAAGAGCCACAATCTGTTGCAATGATGATGTGGGATTTTTTTATCTGCGCTTTAATAATCTACAACTCAAATATTTGGTAAAAAATAGTGCAAGATAAATTTATTGCAATAAGAGATTAAAACATATTTTTTAGGGCTGCCAGTTCATTTGGATGGGGCTGTTTATGTCTATACTCAATACATTCAAACATATTGTCTTGAAGCTAATATCCATTTTTTGGAATCCACTGTTTCTTTCTCTCGCATAGATGTTCATTCTAGTATATATATATATATATATATATATATATATATATATATATATATATATATATATATATATATATATATATACATATATATGTCTCCACCATCAGACATAGTCTGAACAGTTCACCACTTCCAAATGGACCCTCATGTGCGGATGGAGAACGGAGGCGCCGCAAAGCGCCCCACTGTTTATGGATGTAATAATCGATGCTGGCATCTCTGCATCATTACTAAGTTGTTGAGTATTGGTAGCCAAAATATCATGATCAAATCAAAACAATAGAATAAAAGTTTAGAAGAACTAGAGCATAACAATTTACAATAGAGGGTAGGTGTCTGAGTTTGATTAGGAAATGGCACTGTTTGTTTTTTTTTTAAGTGTTTTTGAGCCAAAAACTTTACAAAAGTGAAGAAACCTAAAACTGGGATCTTTTTTTGTCTGAAGCAGGGTATAACACTAAAATAGCAAAAGGAGATTTAATTTTTTTTTTTACCTTTTACATATTTACTTTTTACATAACTTCTAATTTAAAACATAAAAAAAAAATCATTTCAACAAGTGACTATAATAAGCCATACTCTTGCCCAAAGCAGCAGCAAAAAAGGAGGCTTGGCTGCAAATCTCCAAAAGAAGGCAGAATATGATCAGTAAAATATCTAATTAGGGTTTTATGTGATAAAGTTTATGTCTTCACATTTGGAATGAAAAACATTCAGAGATGTATCCATTTTGGACTTTGGATTCGCTTTTTCTCTTTTGTTACACATTTTCCTTTATTCAATCATTTTATCTTATTTTTCTTATTGTTACGACTTTGCTTTTCTTTTTTTTTTACATCAATTTACTCGTCTAAAAATTGTAAAAAGGTGGCTTTAGGTGTGCAGCAAAGTTCCTCACAGATCTTATTTGTTCCAGTAAAAACGTGATTACTAGGAATAGGCGTTTACCTTATCGCTCCAGACCGTGTGTAACCGGAACAGGAAACAGGGACTTTTTAGTAAACAAACTGTCCGAACCATGCTTTGATTACACATTGTCTGCCAGGGTGGAGGATATCATTTAATATATTTCCTGTACTGAATTTACTTACAGCACGTACAAGGGAGGCACCCCTCCTTTCAGCTCCCTGGTCTTACGCTGCAACATCAGGCCACCAGTGTTGACAGTGTGGTGATGTTTACTCAGACATCTGCTGCTGAACTGCAGACTTAGTTCTTCTTTTAATCACCACTAGTCTTTACAATTCATTTATAGTAATCGACATTGCTTAGGCTTTGTGTGAATTATTACCAAAAGTAAAGGTTGCATTGGTAAAAAAGTACTTATTTGAAATCAGTAGACATGTGGTGCATAATGAAAGGGTAAAATCAGCAGCTAGTTAAAGGGTGAGTCCTTACGAGCAGGGTTCTTTTGGAGCTTTCTAAGGGCCCTCAGCATTCCTTTGTAGCCTTCATAGCTCTTATCATTCTGAGTGTACAGCAGGATCTTCTTGGCGTCATTAAACAGACGGGAGATTCTGTTCACAAAAGCAGGAGGAAAAGACAATTACACACATGTCTTCAAAAAGGCACAAAGATCTCTTCTAAATATATATTTAAAAAAAATATTGATGAAACCAAACAACACAAAGGAAAAATCTCTTATCCACTTTACTTACATGGAGTCATTAAAATTTCCTACTATGCCTGGACTCTCCCCAGGGGTCGGATTTCGAAAGCAGGGATTGTTGGCGTTACAGATAATGCCCTGTACCCAGGGCAGGGTGCCTGCTGAGGGCATGGCCTTGTTAGGGAAGTGACCTGAAACACAAGCAAACATTTATATTAAACTTAAGTTCCAGAACTTGTAAAACTTTAAATATAAGCAATAACTGTGAGATAAAAGGTTAACAACTCTTGTCAAGTCTTGCAAATCGTCTCATTGCTCAGTTTTTTTTTTCTTGATAACAGTTTATCAAAATTAACATATTAAATTCTGTAAAAAAAAAAAAATGAGCAAAGGAGGCGTCAAGGAGGTTACACAGTGTTTACAGAAAACTAATTTAGCTTAATTTTGCAATCTGGTGCTTTAATTCCTAAAAGTAGAAGCTATTCATTAACCATTTCAAACATTTTGGATGCTTTCAGCCACTGAACTGTTACCTGGCAGAAAGTTGAGAAAGCAGCTGCCCTTTTCCTGCGGCTGATGGTATAGTTACAAAACTAGATAGGGTGAACAAATGTTGACCTAGCAGATAGACCCTTTGCATCAATAAAAAGGAACTCAGATGTATGTTTAGTGGATCTTTCCAAGAACCAATCTTTAACTTGCTTTACTCAGATGAAATGCTTTCTTATTAATACAGCAATTTATAAACTCAAATACAATTTTTTCTGACTCACCTTCAATCTTAATTTTTTTAATATCATGAGGCATATTTCATGTAAAAAGATCTACTAATGTTGGATAATAAAAGTTTTATATTTCTCAGAAAATGTTTGAAATAGCCTCTAAGTACAGATTCAAGGAAATGGTTTCAAATGTAAATAACCTCCATTAAAGCATGGAAAAAAATGTATCCGTAATGTTTAATGTTATTTTTAACATAGTTAAAGAGAGTACACTGTGTTAAAAGGAAACATGACATCAGATCACATATACAGCTGCCTTAACAGCCTCAGGTAATCAGTATAAGGATGAAACTTTAAAGGTATCAGCGATACTCCTTCATTTTTCAGAGAAATATGTATTACTTACATTCATGTTGCTCATAGGGTGGATAATACATCCGGACTGATATCAGGATGAAGAAGATAAACAACGGCCAAATAATCTCAATCAACAGCTGGATCTAGGAAACAAAGGATGAGGAAATGTGTTATTTAAACATCCCTGGTTAAAAACGTATTACAACTTATTAATGAATAAGCTTCTGCTTGTTTCATGTCTTTTGTGCTTTGAAATTTGTCAATTCTTCAGTTTCATTTCTAGAGTTTTAGAAATAAAGACAACTTTTTTCCAACGTTTGCTTGTGTCAAAAAACATGGCTTTATTTGCAAAAATCAAATCCCACTAAGAGTGTGTGTAAAGCGTATTAGTTACTAAGCAAAGCAGACAGGGAGATCTGTATGGGTTTTTCCATCTGCACCATATGGCCTTTGAGTTTCAGCTGCCGGCTTGAAACAGCAGGGCAGACATGCAGTGTGAGGGATAAAGAACAGAGCCACTGTCTCAACAATATGAACTGTATCCCTTCTGTTGAAGGAGAGTGTTCGGAAAGTCACGCGGTCACAGCTGCCTCTTTGAGGAGCTGCTCCTGCCTGATGGACAAGTGGCCTAATCGTGTGCACTCAAGCTCTTCTCTCCATATAAAGGAGCAATTATATCAATGTGTCAGACAGAATTTCATTTGCATAGCTTTGAGCATGTGGGCATCAACCGACACAGGATAGTAAACAGAGAAAAAGATCTAGCTGATGATGTCATCCTCCAATCTTTCTCTGACTCAATCTCCATACGTTTTTCCTACTGAATTTCTGAAAGGACAAGAGCATCATTCCCACTGATATGAGCTACTCACTCCAGAACAATGTATGAGTCAGCAGCACATAATGTCATTTTGGTAAGAAAAACATTTTAAATGTCAAGTCAGCTGCCCAAAAATATAAAGGATATTCAATAAAACAGATATTCTTCTTTTTTGTATCCTTAATTAAATAAAAGAAACAAAATAATATTATAAATGCATCAATGAGAATTATTATGGGCTAGTAAAGATTTACGTCTTTTTTGTAAGGTTGGTTTAATAAATCCCGTTTTGACACCATCGCGTAATGTTCCTTTTGAAAATAAAGGAAGTACCACATAAAACCAATACGTGTATGAAAACATTTGTCCCTAATTTTCAATTAAACATAAAAAAGTCCTCATAATACACAATCTTGGTTTAATAAGCTGAAATTAGTATGATTGTTTTACTTTATTATTATTTTTTTTTTTTACAAAGAATCTGCAGGTTATGTGTTTCCACATAGAAAAAAATAGAAAACAGAATTAAGATAAAAAAAATAAGCATTCAATTATTTTCAGTTTGTTTTATATACTTTTCTTTCATATAAGACTTTTAGGATTTACACTTGAAAGTGACCACATTTGTATTTGATCTGACAACATAAAACAATTTCACAATGACAAAATAAGAATTATATATGTGGTGTATAAGTAAATTATACATAAATATATGTTTTTTTTATCATTCTTATATTTTGAGTTTACATATATGAACTTATATATTATATAAGGGGATTGTGTATGTAAAGTGACTGTATTTAGAAGAAAATTATGTGGTCTTTAAATACTTATCTTTAAATGGCATCCAATAAACAGTGGTATAAAAAACATATAATAACTTGGACCGTTGCAAATAGGTTTATGTTTTTACAAATTTTAAAATGCCAGCTAGATTTGCTGCCAAATTGTATTTGCTGTTTTTCTTTTTTTTTATGGAAACATTTAATATTGAACAAAGTCTCAATTATACAAACTTTAGTTCCTGTAAACTGATTTTAAAGAGAACATTAACATGGGCAAAACTAAGACAAAAATAAAAACTTGATTTTTTAAACAGGTAAAGACTCTGTAGCAATTCAACCTGACCTTTTTAATTAAGGTGTTTAAGAGAATATTGGAAATGCATTTCATATTTTTAGCATGGAAATCTGTAAAATTAACATTAGTTGTCCTGCAAATTGTCAGGCAGTAATGAAATGTAAAAATATTTAACAAGGTACTTTAAAGGTTTTAAAATATTTGACAAAAATACTGAAGATAGCGACAATTTAACAGTCAACTGTCGCCTAAACTTCTGCATTTCTTGTAATTAGATGATCAGATGTGCTTTTAGTTAATGAATGTCTTAGATTTGTGACACCACAAATGCATTTATTTTTTTATCTTTCTTGCAATAATTTAGTTTTACTGATAACTGTCATATATGTTTAATATAATGTAGAATAATGTGTATAGAAATGTCATATATATGGTTCTGAAAAGCAATCATTTTGTTGTAATTTACTAAGATTCTTATATATGCTTTTACTGTCTGATAAATTCCTAAATATTATTATATTGCAACTATTAAATAGACATTATTTGTGACTATTCAATAGACTCAAATACCCCAAAGTAAACCACTTACAGTTTGTCTTCGTCTGAAGGTGAAGTTCTTCCATAGCAGTAAACCCAGCTGAGTGGAGACTGCCATGTTGCCGTCTTCCTTTCCTCACGAAGCCGACTCCAGCTCCTCACTGTAAAACAGCCACAAAAAAAAGACCGTTTTAAAAAACAAGGAACTTTAAACACTAAGATGCAAAGACAGCAAATAAAATCCCCACATTACATTTTTACTGTTGAGAAATAGCTCATCAAATGTAACAGACATATGTCAGGCCTGTTCTCTATAGCTGTGTTCTTGTTAAAAAAAAAAATCAGTGGTCATAAATGGATCCTTTGACGTAGAAAAATGGATTTGAAAACAGAACAGAAAGTAATTGCACAAACAGAAGCCAATCAAAGACACGCAACTGAACCAAATGTCGATGTAACGTTTGAGCTTGTCATGAACAAGGAGAGAAAAAACAGGCAAGGCAAGGGGTTGAGAAAGAAAGGTAGTAAAAGGCTCAAAGTGGAACGTAACAAGAAGTCCCTGGAAGGTTAATTAATCCTAGAATTTTTTTTTTTTTTTTAGAGCCAGGTAGAGGAAAACAAAGCCATTACATTCACCTGTTGAACAAAACCCTCCTGACCTGAAAAGCAGACCTGCCAAAATACCAACAGGGCTCAGCAAAATGTGGCCAATCTGCTGACTGGAATACAAGCTGCCGACTCCTGCAAATCCAGCTCTACTTAATGTAAACTCATCCATCCAAAGTTCAAGCACTTCATCTGGGAGGATGAGTGGGTGGAGGGGTGGGGGTGGGGGGGGGGGGGGGTGCTCAGCACATGAAATATTTGAAGAGATTCTGTCTACCTTATTGGTTTTAGTCAGTCAACACCTCAAAGACCAACAGTATAGATAATCTAATCTAGAGCACAATAGTTCATTACTTGCTCCTTTTTTATTCTTGGCAGAATAAATGACTAAACTGCTATAGTCAAATACTTGTGCTTTGATTTATTTATTGATGTTATGTAATCTTTCCCTCCCCTTTTTTTTATTACATTCTTTGTCAAACCTGTTTTTATCCTTTTTAAACAATAAAAGTTATCAAAAATATTTCCCTATAAAATACAAACTCAATATGAAATTGTATTCTGTGACTTAGAATCAGAAATCTGCACTAACAATTGGTTGACCTTTCACCTAGTTCAGTAAAATAATGCCTCCCACAGATTACATGTGCATAGATCTACAAAGAAAGCTTACCAAGCTAGACTAAAATTCATTCAGAATTTTAAAAATCTTTTTAAAGCACATTATTAGTCAAACAATAAAATGTCATGTTCACCGGCTAAGTTATGCAAAATGTTCTTTATACAGAATAAAGCTGATTGGCTGCTCTGGACAGTCAGACCACATTCAAGGACAAAGCGACGCTCAAACCTAACATACTATACAGATTAATTGATCAGCAATAATGTATACTTCAAGCAGAAATTAGTCCAACAACTTATGGGTGATGATTCCAAAATATCTGTAAGAAATTTTCTTAAATACATTTATCTTGCCTTTATAAATATTTACTAAGCAGAAATATCCAAGCATCGCTTTTATACATCAGTAACTATCTCTGTGATCTAGATATTAACATGTTAATGGTAAACATGAACAGAATATGAAATGCATGTCCATCAATATTTGCCCTAGAACAAGAAGTCTAGGGCATGTATTTTATTTACATGCTTCCTTATGTATTTATTTATTGTCTTATAATGGAATTTCTATAGCAGTGTTTTTATGTGTGAATGCAGGCAGAGTCTGTACCCAAATCAAATTTCCTTTGGGACAATATTCTAATTTAATCTAATCTAAATATCCATGAAGTCTGATTGAATCTGCTGGACTGTTTAAAATGTCATAATAAAAAAAACAAACAGGAAGTTCAGGATCAACTAACAAACAAAGCGACCCAAGAACATTATCTCTGGCACAGGGAGCATCATTTTCGCTAAGTGAGTCACTTGATTTGATGCCAACAGCAGCAACACGAAGCAAACACAGCAAGAGGACAAATAAATCTAAATTCTCTCTATTTTTAAACTAAATCGATCAATCACAGCAGAAATAATCTATAAATGCATATATGCTTTGCTTTGTTTCAGGGCTACTGTGTCAAGAACAGAATAACAAAGCAAGCCAAAAAACATTTTGTTATGTTCAACAATCCCTCCTCCTTTCTTGATAAAACTCATCACTTTGTTGTTTTGCTTCTGCTTGAATGTGATGGTGGATCTGCTGAGAATGAAGCAGAGCATCTAATCTCCTAAACACTTAAGCTGTAATATTACACTCCTATCTGATGCATTGAGTGGTTTTCGGCTGCATAATCCATTTGCATGAAACCAACACAGGCTCAAATTCTTCCTGTTGCATCGAGACAAATTGGGATTCTTTAGCCCAATTATTGGTGCAGAGCGAGGGTGCCTCTAGTGGCATAAAACAGAGAAAAATATCATCTTTTTTTTTTTACTTGTTTACCATCGCTCCTCATGTGTTACATCACAAAAGACAGGATGTTTTTTTTTCACTCTTCAACGCCGCAGCCGTTTTAGTGACCAAAAATATGACATTTGTTCAACAGAAATGATTGATTTTTCAGGTTTTAGGGCAAAAACAAAAGGTTTATATAAATAGACTACTTATTTGCTTTTAGGTATAAAAACATGCATTTCACCATCTATGGCAGTTAGCAGATATTGTCAAGACAAAATGTTAAATAAAGGGAAAAAACACACAAGCAAAACAACAACAAGCACATTGACGTTTTTTTCTTCTGATATTTTTATAGGGTGAAAAAAAAGTCAAAAAATTAAACGAATGAAAACAGATAAATTAAAGTCCCTCTACATGTTTTAATAGGCGCATCTATTTTTGTGTAAGACGGTCAAACATCCTCCTCCAGATCGACTTCTGTCCTTCATCCTTTTGTTCTGTTCAGCTGAGGTTACTGTCGGTCATCCAGCTGACCAACAGCATCATCAAGTCTGACAAAACCAGCGCAACAAGAACGACGAGACCTTTCAAAATAAAACACGTCAAGTTTGCCCTAGAATATATTTATTAACCTATATTACACATTGGTCCGCTTTTTACTAAATGTCTAAATATAGTGAAATGTAGAAAAATATGCCACCAAGTTATGCTCGTTTATGAGGCAATAAACTAGGATTTGTATTTAGAAAGTCTTTTATTTTTATAGTTTTTATTACCGGATGCTACGTGGATATATTTTCTTATTATCTTTAATCGACGGTCGAGTCCGACAGAATGGTGAAATAAGAAAAAAAATCAGAAAATTTTTATTTAAATCATTAATGTAATATATAAATATATATATAAAAAATATATATTAAAAAATGGTTTGGGTTTAAAATAAAGAAACTTTGCAGATTAAAGCATCACTGCAGTTACAGCTGATTGTTTCCTCTGCATCATAAAAAAAACGTTTTTTGTTGTTGTTTTTTTTAACTTATTTACGCCACTTTTAGACAAACAATGAACACCATGTTAACAAAAAGACAAAGGTTGCTTAAAAACATGCGGTATGGAAAAAAAATTCTAAATCTTTGCGCTAACCTAAAAGTAATGTAAGCTTAAAAAGTCACCCACCTTAATCTTGTTTTGCTTATTTGTTGTTGTGTTTGTCATTAATTGAAAATCCTTCCCCAAACAGAAGAGAAAAGCGGGTTACAGACAGCGTCCCCCTGACGCTGCGCTACTCCTTGTTGTTCTTTGTCAGGGTGTCTAGGAAAACTGTTTTTTCTCCTCGGGCAGCCTTTTATAGCTCAGCTCGATGCGGAGCGCAGATGAACAGCAGAGGTAACTAACGGTCACAGTTTGTTGCTGCTCCCATATAAGGCAAGCACGTGCGGAGGCAAAACATCTCTTAAAGGGCCAGGCACACTTCTTTTCAATTACAGAGGAGCAAAGATTTAATTACTCAAAGTAAGTACGCCTTACAAATCATTTAAATGGTTTTAAAATCACTTTATTAGACAAATAAGTGCATTTCTCTTTTATTTTCATCAATTACTTTTTCATTTTTGTATGGTCTTATGAATCAATGCATCCTAATTAATGGAAAAATAATAATCTCTCATCAGAACCAAATATGACTGAGCCTCTACCACTGGTAAGCAGTGAGCTTCCATAATGCAGTATTCTGGTGTTTTGTAATTGAACCTGAGGTGGCAGACTGTGGGATTTGAACCAGAGACTTTTCCTGAAGCACACTGCCTTGCTCTAACCATCAGGCAACCATCCCTCCAGTTCTGATGGTGGTGCAGGTTTTTCTCTCCTGCATTATTGAACTCTGTCTTCTTTGACCAATTTGAATGCTTTTTGATTAAGTATTTCTTTTTTTTAAGTATGTGGATGACTTGTATACTCATTATTACCGTAGTTTTGTTCTGTAACTATTGTTTATACTTTAATTTTAATCTGTAACACACTCTCAGATTGTGCAATATTAGTTTCTTGATGTCTTAAAGTGACATTTCATTTCTCTTTTAAATGATCAATAATTATTTTATCTGTACATGTGTGAAATCTGTCGCCCCGAACCAAAGGATCATGTAAAGCATTTGTGGCAACATCCGTATCAGCATTGTACTTCTCAAATAGTATAGATGTAAGAAAAGACACATAAAACTGTGATCTTAGGAGTAAGCACTTCATTTTATCATTTGATAATTAAAAAATGTACATATGACAATTTTCTCCAATTTTCCTGTTTTGCAACGTACTGTTTACGGTAAATTTTTACATCCGACATATGAGAAACATAATCCTTTTGTTCTTAGAAACACTATACATCCCTACAGATATATGAAGATAAGTAATGAATACCCTATTCATTTTATTTAACCTTTAATAATGAGGAGAAGAAAAAAATCTCCCTTATTTTACTGCAGTATGAAGTACTGTTGTATTACAATAAAAGGGAGTGGATTTAAAGATGCCTTTTACTAGTATTTTTTTGCTCTCAATGTTATAGTAAATAATTTCATTGTTAAGACTTTCATACTTAACCTGGAACGTGATTACATATAAACATGTAAAGGTTAAAGTTACTGTATATCCACATAGTAAATAATTAAACATGATACCCCAAATTTTAAACCTGATTCTTAAGTAGAATCATCTGAAAAAATCTTTAGCCAAGGGAAATCAAAATCCTACTTTGCATCTCAGCACACAAGGTAGGATTAGAAATGACATACCAAGAAAATATGAGTTCAGGAGCTTTTTGCTGACAAGCAGCATTTTTTTTTTTTTTGCAACCTTTGCAGTTTGGGATATTCTGTGTGTGAAATATAAAACAAAAGTAGTTTTTCAGCCTGCTCTGCAAAACACCACATAACTAGGTCATTTTTATAATTAAACTATTTACAAATATGAGGATATTTATTCTCAATTTTCTGCTGTTATTTAGAGTCCAGCATTCCACCATTCTGCAAAAACTGTTATCAGTATTACAGTTTACAGTTGAAACTAACCCTTCATTTTCATCTTTAACTTTTTGCAGTAGGTTCTGCTTAAGGAATATGTTTCGATTCTGTCTCATCTCTCTAATGCATTTTAAAAATAATAAAAATGGTGTTCCAATAAGTCACCTATCCTGTTTTGAATCCTGCTGTCCCTAAAATGCACTCTGTCCTCTACTGTGCTGTTACTTTATCACTAAGTCTGTCCCAAATCCTTTAGAGGTAATAGTTAAATAATGACAAACACTTACTATACTGTTTAACTGAACGACTCAAATGTCCAGTAAAAACTGTGTACAGAAGCGGCTGTCAACACTCAATGTCCCTAGATATCAGTATCTGGATCCTTTACAGTGTACGCTTTGGTCTAAATGTATCATAGGTTCTTCCTCCAGATTAGGATAAGTTAAGGTTGTAGTTTAAAAGGAGGATGGTGCCAGCAAAAACTGCCATATAAGAATGTAATGTGCATTACAAAAGTATTCACACCCTCAAAGCTTTTTTCTCCTGCATTTTGTCACATTAAAACCCACAGATATATGTGTATTTTATCACATTTTACCAATGTATAATCTAATAGGTCAACTTAAAATCTTTCATGAATCAAAAAACAAATGGACCTGTAAGAATCAAATGCTAAATGAAATAATACATTTGCAGAAAGTCTTATACATTTCTGTTTAGAGATGTTTGACAATTTAATCTGACTTAACTTGAGTTTTTTTTCAAAGAAGAAAATACAAAATTTTCAATCTCTAAATCTGCATGTCGTGGTGGATCAGTACCTGAAATGACTTGGACTTGTCTCAGGATGGTTCAACATGAAAGAAGGTAACAGTCTTTGTCAAATATTGAAAAAATTGATCCATTTATTTCCTTCTTCATTGATATATGTGATTGATATGTGAACAAAAATACTTTTAAAAAGATTTGTGCATCTTAAGACTTTTTCCAAGCAGAAAATAGTCTACCCTAAAACACACTAACATAGGGTCTAAAGTGCTTCCAGTTAGATTTCATTGTCTTACACATAAACATACATGAAAATGATCAAAGCACCTTAATCAGATATCTAACAGACCAACTTCAAGTACACACTGGAAGTTACTCAATTAAATACAATTTTATTACAGATTTCAAAATTGTATGAAAACATGTTTTACATATTTTGCCATAAACTTAGATTTTCACACAAAGACAATTAGTGCCACTCAATAGCAGCATTTAAACAGTCGTTTTAACTGTGATATCTTTAAATAAATAATAAAGTGTTGTTCAGTAACCTCTGCACATATTCCAGTAGATTCAGTGGCATTACATATCTCACTGCTGTTTTGTTTTATTTTTCATGAAGGTTAAATTTTATTATTATTTTTAAACAATTCACTAAAATATAGTCTGATTTATAAAAACATTAATTTCTACTTGCCAATATTGCATAATATTATGTTTTAGTCTGCGTAATACAACTGTACTTTGGAAGACAAGAAAAGTAAAAACCTTATCAAACTATCAGTGCACTTGTGTATGTTAGGTACTGACAGCTGAAAGAAGATAAAACAGAGCATACTGCAAAATTAGTACTGTTCATTTGGAAATGTTCTTTTCTTCCCTGTGGATGTGGTACAGTAAGTTCTCCCAGCATGAGGCTTAATTAAAACACAATCCCCAATCAGACAGATTAGTCATTTAATCCATCAAAGACCCCAGATCTGCCTACATCAATCAATAATAAAGATGAATCCCTGACATGAACAAATGTTAAAACCCCTCGTTGTGTTTCCTTTAAAGAGTTTAGAAAACATTTCTAGGATCTTTGTTTTAAAGAAACCAAACAGTGACATACAAAAATTTGCCTTTTAAGATTTGTTCGAATATAAAGCTTTTATCAGTAATACAAGCCAAAAAAGATTATCTGAAGGGTTATAAAGTATTGCTTTACTTAGAGATGAAAACTGCACGTTGTTGCTTATTTCTTTTTTTTTCAGCATGTAAAAGTTACATCCTCATTATATTATTGGCAACACATTAAAACTATTTTATTAACCAAACAAAATCTGTCTAAAGCCAGAGGTAGCCCTAAGACACAACACATAACAGGATGGCCTTATCCTTGGAACCTATTGTAATCTTGATAACTTTATTTCTATGATTAAACTCTGTATAGAAATATATTCTGAAAAAAGTTATCAAAGGGTTGCTTAAATCCTGAAGCGTGTGCAGAGCTCTAGCTTGGGACAATATTTCATCATCACTTTGACCACCATCCTGTTTGTGGAATTTAGATCAGACTTAAACAACATCAACCAAACCTCATCCACACCACTGTCATTGATCTGATCAAGAAGGCCGAAAAGTCTGCATACAGGCTGATCCACTGGTTCTAAGAATCACCTGGAGCTTAACCTCTTAAAGAATGTCACCCTAAGATCTATTGCATTTCCTCATTTCCAGTCATGTTTATGTTATGTATGTTTACTAAAACGCAACTATTGTTTTACGCATCAAAAGTTTTGCATTAACTCAACAAAATGCAAATCACTTTTCTAGAACGTTTGTTTAAAATAGTCCATTTACATTTATATTTTGGATTCTTGACAGCATGCTTCTTCTGGTAATATGTCTGTTTTGTTACTTGGACAATCACCACTGTGATATTGGCATATACATCATAACAATATAACGACTGTAGCTAAGGAAGACTTGCCAAATAAAGAGTCACTAATCTGGAATACCACTGAGTGATATTCAGAATAAAGAAGAAGTGTTTAGATATTGTTAAATGTCCTGCTCAAGGATAATCTCCAGCAGAGAAGAAGGAAAACTTAATATTTATATTAAGGTGGTGGTGGTGGGGGTTGTCAGAGCTTTACTAAAATATACAGTAAGATGTAGGTACGATACAGTATTTATAATTGTTGGTGGTGTGAGATATGTTAAAGCCATTCGGTCTATTATAGTGGTTCAAAAGATCAAGACATTCATTGTTTTTTTCTGCAGTGAATTGTCAGGAGCCATTATTCCAACAGGCTGGAGAACAATAGTAAGCTATGGCTGAAACAGCATGAGCAAGCCTAAACACATTTAGAGATAATGGGATCAGAAGATTAATACCTTACAGGATGTTAAAAGACTTTTGGATTCGCTTGCAGCTCTGAAAGTAATGAAATATTCTCTATGTGTAGAAGTGTATGCTTTTTCCATCTGACAGGTAGAAGTCTCTAAACTCCTCTCAGGTCAGTATAAACATCTCTGTTTAATCTGCGTATCCTTCTATTGCCCTGTCATGGACTGGCAGCCTATACAGGGT